GAGAAAGTTGGTCACGAAGTGGCGCTTGCTTCTTGTCAAGCCGATTTCTACAAACTTGGCTATATAAACCATCTTCAGGGCAAGCCGTCAGATTATGAGTTTTCCGAGAAGGACTTTGAGATTTTCTTTATTTCTCCAGTTGATCTGCTTGATTTCACATTTGAGGCTGCCTTTGGTGAAGCAGCTGAAGGTCAAGCAATCCAAGCAGAGGCGGCTGAGGATGAGCTGATAGAAGCTTTAGCTACTAGGAATGGCACGGCTGCCAAAGGCATGGTAGTCGAGGAACCAGTGGTTGCACAGGCTACCAAGGAGTAGTCTTTTTGCTTAGACTTAAGAGTTTTCTTATTTTCCTTTTTGTTATGTTTTGCTTGGACTTTGTTGGCCTTCGAGCTGGTTTATCAATTTGTTAGAAATTTAATAAACAACTTTCCTTATTTTTGCTTCATCCTCCTATTTCGCCATGTCTTTTGCAAAAATTTACCGTAGGATGGGCGGCTGGGTGAACTTACTTCAATGAAGTAGTTCATCCCACGTCGTCACTTAGGTTTTAGTTTTAACTTCAGGGCTTCGGGAGCCTTGCCTACTTAAGGCATCTTGCAAAACTTTATCATAGAACGGGTAGTCGAATGGGCTACTCCAATGAAACAATTGACTCGTGCAGTCACTTTAGGCTTCAGTTTTGGCTTTGGGGCTTCTAAAGCTTTACCTGCAAAAGGAAGAAATGCGGGATTTCCAACTTATAGAGCCGACGGTCGAACTCGGTGTCACCATAGGAGGTAGGCCAGTTCGAGTAGCTACTATAGTTATGAATCTCGGTTTTAGGTAGCTTCATGAGCTTTAGCCCTCCCAGGGCATGTTGCAAGATTTTTGAGTTAGAGAGCCATCAGTCGGACTCGTGCTTCTTGTAAGAAACATAGGAGGTCCGTGTAGTTGCTATAGTCGTGACACTTGACTTTAGTGGCTTCTTGAGCTTCTAGCCTTCCTGGGGCATGTTGCGAGATTTTTGAGTTATAGAGTCGTTGGCCGGATTTGTGCCTCTCGTAGGAAGCAAAGGAGGTCCGCGTAGCTGCTATAGTTGTGGCACTCGACTTTGTGGCTTCGTGAGCTTTGGCCCTCCTAGGGCATGTTGTGAGATTTTTTACTTATAGAGCCATCGGCTAGACTCATGCCTTCGTAAGAAGCGGAGAAGGTATGTGTAGCTGCTATAGTCATGACATTCGACTTTGTGAATTCTTGAGCCTTGGCCCTCATGGGGCATGTTGCGAGATTTTTGACTTAGAGAGCCGTCGGCCGGACTCGTGCTTCTCTTTGGAAGCAGAAGATATCTGCGTAACTACTATGGTCATGACACTCAACTTTGTGGCTTCTTGAGCCTTGGCCTTCCCGGGGCACGATGCGAGATTTTTAACTTATAAAGCTATCGGCTGGACTCCAGCTTGCAGGGCAACGGGTGTTTTCTGCTTATTGCAAGAAATGGTCAATTTGTTTATGCATTTGGCCCAGGCTTGCGAATAGTTCCTTCAATCTTCATGGAAAAATAAAGGCTCTTATTGACTTTGCTCATAAGCAATAATGTCATAACAATTGATAATCCTAGGCATATGAGGTCTCTGTCCGTCGAACTGCTTGAGTTTTCAAACTTTTTTGTCTTGAACAGGGTCCAAGGAATGGTAGGAGGTCACACGTAGTACCTTCTTAAGTTGTAGGCATTCCACTGCTTGTCGATTTCTTTGTCATTCATAGTGGTGAGGGTGTAGCACTCGGCTGATTTTGTACGGACCTTCCCAGATGGGAGCCATCTTTTTGGAGCCTTCCCGTCGGGCGATGATGAAGGCTTTTCTGAAGACTAAGTGCTGGAACTGCCGAATTTTTGCCCTTTTGTTGTGGCTGAAGAGGAGATGTTGCTAATAGGCCACAATGCGGGTGATAACCTTCTCGCGCTCCTCCTCTACCAGGTCTAAGTTGGTGGCCATCTCCTTTTTGTTCTGCTCAAGGTTCAGTAGTATAGTGTTGATGCTTGGCACTACGACGTTGGGAGGAATGATTGCCTCAGAACCATATGCCAAGGAGAATGGAGTTTCGTCGGTTGTTTGCCTTTTGGTGGTGCGATATACCCATAGATCACTGGGAAGCTCATCTAGCCACTTGCCCTTCTTGTTTGAAAGGGTCTTCTTAAGGCAATCAAGGATGGTTTTGTTAGATGCCTCGGCCAACCTGTTACCCTGTGGATATTAGGGTCTTAACATGTGTTACTTGATGCCATACTTTTTGAAAACTTCACCAAGTCTTTGCCCATGAATTGTGGACCATTGTGGGTGACGATAGAGTGTGGGATGCCGAAGCGGTAGATGATGTTCTTCCATATGAAGCGCTCTATGTTCGTCTAGGTAGTTGTGGTCATGGGTTCGACTTTGACCTATTTTGTGAAGTAGTTGGTAGCTACAATCATCATGCCTCTACCCCCAGTAGCAGTAGCATTGGTCCTACCAAGTTGGTCGCCCATTGCATGAATGGTCATAGGCTTGTCTGCGGGTGGAGTTGGTTAGCAGGTAGTGCAGGCACGAGCTTGAAACGCTAGCAGCTGTCGTACGTTTGTGCATACTCCTTAACGTCTTAATGCATGGTTGGCCAATAATAGCCAGCGTTGAGAGCTTTTTGCGCCAAGGAACAGCGTCTAAAGTGGTTTCCACAAGCGCCTTCGTGGATTGAGCTAAGAATCTTCAGGTTGTTAGGAGGCGATAAGCAACGAAGATGTGGTCCTAAAAAAGATCTTCGAACGAGCATGCCATTCTAGATGTAGTAGCGTGCTGCCTTCATTTGGAGCTTCCTAGATTGCAATCTATCTGTAAGGAGTGTTCCATTGATTATGTAGTCGATGATGGGATCTTGCCAACTCGGGGCTGTGTGTGCCACCTCGATTGCTGGTTCCTCATCTATGTTTGACTTTTCAGAGTACTCGACTGGGATGGAGCGCCTGAGCTGATGGTTTAGCGTAGAGCCTAGGCTTGCTAGTGCATCTACATGGACATTTTCTGCTTGTGAAACCTAAGTGAATGTGTATGTCTGGAACGTCGCTAGTTGCTCTCGTACCTTTTCGAGGTATTGGGCCATCCTTGGATACTTTGCTGTGTACCCCCCTTGAGGTTTGGTTGGTGATCAGTTGGGAATCGGAATATATTGCAAGCTTCTTCACCACTAGGTCTTTTGCCAATCAAAGACCTACTAGTAAGGCTTTATACTCCGCTTCATTGTTTGATGATTTAAAGCTCAGAGTGATCGCCTCATCGAGCATCGAATCGTCTAAGGTAGTAAAAACTAGACCTGCTCCTGATCCTTGATGGTTGGATGATCCATCAACTAGCAAATGCCAAAAAATCTCTATCTGGTGGGGCAGGTATGGCTATGGCATGCTCGGCTACCTCTGGGGTACTTTCGGGCTATGTTGTTACATCTTTCAAGCTTTGGGTGAATTCTGCTATGAAGTCTGCTAATAATTGGGCTTTTATCGCTATGCAGGGTTGGTATGCTAGGCCGTATCGACCAAGTTCCAACACCCACTTTATGACTCGTTAAGAAGTGTCTAGGATGTGTAAGACTGATCGTAGTGGGTACTAGGTCATGACGATGACTGGATGCCCTTGAAAGTAGGGTCTGAGCTTCCGAGCTGCAACAACTAGTGTCAAATTAGTTTTTCAATCTTTAGGTATCTGGTTTCTGTATCGATGAGAGCTTTGGATATGTAGAATATAGGCAATTGGGCCTCTAGCTCTTCTTGTATGAGGGCAGAGCTCACTACTACTTCTAATACCGCCAGATAGATGTATAGGTTCTCTGCTGCTTCCAGTTTGGATAGTAGTGGAGGTGATGTCAAGTATTGCTTCAGGTCCTGAAACGCTTTCTCGCACTCATCGTCCTATTTATCCTTCTGCGCCTTTTTGATTGCCTTGTAGAAAGGCTTGCATCGGTTGGTAGATTGCGAAAGGAAGTGATTGAGTGCGGGCATTCATTTGGTCAGACCTTGGATCTCTTTCAGAGTTTGGGTGATTTCATGTCCAGGATCACTTTGATCTTCCTTGGATGAGCCTTGATTTCTCGTTGGGTTACAAAGTACCCTAAGAATCGGCCTGAGAAGACGCCAAATGTGCACTTGGCTAGGTTGAGCTTTATGTTGTATTCTAGGATAATAGCAAAAGTTTCTGCCAAGTTGCAAATGTGGTCTAACTGCTACTTGCCCTTTACCATGATGTCGTCGACTTAGACTTCCATGGTGGCTCCGATTTGCTTCTTGAACATTGTGTTTACGAGTCGCTGGTAGGTTGCTTCTGCCTTCTTAAGGCCAAAAGGCATGACCTTATAGCATTATGTGCCTTGCTCGATCACAAATGCAGTATTTTCTTTATTAGGCTTGTGCATGGCAATCTGGTTATAGCCTGAGTATGCGTCCAAGAAGTTGAGCAGCTAGTTCCCGATGTTGAGTCAACGAGCAAGTTGATTTGCGGAACTAAATACTTGTCTTTAGGGCATGCCTTATTGAGGTCGGTGTAATCCATGCATATTCTTCATTTGCCCTTTTCTTTTTTCATTACTAGCACAATGTTAGCTAGCCATGCTGAGTGTGCCACTTCCTCAATAAATCTAGCCTTTAGTAACTTGTTGATCTCTGCTTCAATAATCGCTACTCACTCGGGTGTGAAATATCACCTTTTTTGGATCGCAGGTTTGGCAACGTGATAGACATGTAGCTTGTGACAAGCTATCGTTGGATCAATGTCCGGCATGTCAGAGGGTGACCATGCGAAGACATCGCGATTTTCCCTAAGGAAAGCCATAAGCTGTTCCTTCTCTGCTGAGCTCAGACATGAGCTGATTCTAGCCGTCTTTTCCAGATGGTGGCGGTCAAGAATGATGTCCTTGGCGTCTTCTTCGATTTTCCATCCTGATTCATCTTACAGGGCATTACCGACCTTAACGCCATCTTCTTGACCTGTCTGCTGTAATTGCTATTTGGCGGAGGTGGAGTTGTCTTTCCGCACTTCAACCGCTACTACTAGGGCGAAAGACTTATTCTTCGACTCCTTGAGAACTTGTAAACTGCATCGCCTGGACATGGCCTGGTCGCCTTTGATTTCTCCGACTGTTCCTCTTGGGATGCAAAATCGGATCTTCTGGTACTCGATCGAGGTTACAGCTCCAATCTTCACTAGCCATGGTCCACCCAATATCCCATTATGAAGAGATGGGTCCCTAACAAGCATGAAGGTCTGCGATGAAACAATTGATAGGTTAGTTACATAGAGTGTGATAGTGTCAATGGCAGTTAAGGTGAGCTCGTTGAATCCGATCAAGACCTCTGCTTTACGTTGGATTGTGTTTTCCAAACCCATTTTCCAGATGACTGACAGTTGTAGGAGGTTGACTGAGCTGCCGTTATCCACCATGACTCTGTCAACGATGGCATGGGCCAATTGTACAGAAATCACCAGGGCATCAATGTCCTGCTCAGTGAAGTCGACGATTGGTCCGAGTACATCATCTATGGCTTGAACCTGATTGACCGATCTTGCCTGCTGGAACTTCCTCTTCTTGGACTTATTGGTGGCCTCTAGATGCTCAGATTCGGTAAAGATTCCGTTGATTCAGATTGTCTTAGTTGGGGGTTCGGCATCGGCATTTGCTTCTCGCTTTGGCCGGGCAGCTGGTCTGTCAACATACTGGTCTCACTTGCCTTCTTTCACAAGTTGCTCAAGGTACTTCCTCCATGTGATGCAATCATTGGTTGTGTGCCCAGGACCTCTGTAGAATGCGCAATATTTGGTCTGGTCCATCTTAGAGGTGTCATTTTTTAAAGGTGGCGATAACTTGAACCATGGCTTATCCTTAAGGTTGCGAAGGATCAAGCTGATTGGGACTGAGAACCTGGTGTACGTCTTGGGTGCTGCGCCCCTCTTAGCGGGGGTTTGGTCTCTACCTGGCTTGCTTTTGTTATCGAGCAGTTTGTTGCTTTCCTTTTTTTGAGTCAATTTCGCGTCTTTGTGCATCTGCTCAAGCGGTTTCTGGGAGCGTTTTTCTTCGTCCCAGAAGGAGTGTTTTTCTACGAAAGCATAAGAGTTTACCAGGGTCAGGTTCTCGCCCATAATCAATTCTTCGAAAAGTGAGTGATCTGCTAGGAGTCTTTTTCGGAAAGATGAACATACGATGCTATCATCGCATCCGACAATCTTTCTTCGCCTTGAATCTCTTGACATAGATGCGGAGTTACTCCTTCTGATCCTTTTTCATGCTGAAAAGGTGGTCAGACCTCTTCTTAATCGAGTGGTAAGACGAATATTCCTTAGTGAAAACCAAGGAAAGTTCATCAAAGTTTCGGATTGAACGTGGCGGCAGGGTGTAGAACCAATCTTGTGCTTCACCTTGTAGCGTTGTGGCAAAGATCTTGCACATGAAAGCGTCATTATTGGCATAGAGGGTCATGGCACTTCGGTAATGTATCAAGTGGCTGTCTGGATCTTCATCTCCGCTAAACCAGGCGAAATGTGGCGGGTTGAACTTCTGCGGTGGCTCCGTCCACTTGATCTCGTCTGTAAAGGGTGACCTGCTCAGGTTGGCCACGTCTCTATAGAAGGCATCGTTGGTAGTGTTAATGCGCTAGAATCCGCGCAACTACTTTGCTACGAGCCTTTGTACTTCCTCCTGGATTTACGCCTGGTGGCCTAGTCTATGTTGCTTTTCGGCATGTCCTGCTCATTTGTACTGCGATCGCAGTGCACGTGGTTCTCGCTGTGCTACTCACCATCATGCCTAGTGGGGGCTGCCAGTGGAACTTGAATTGGACTGCTCACGTGCTCTTCTCTATACGTCATGCGGCTGCCTACTCCATTGCTTTGTAGGAGAATCTCCTTGTGGGCCTAGCCATGTGTGGACGCTTCTTCTAGAAGGTCTTGAGTGCTCATTGAAGTGTGGACCCAACCTCGAATGCACACTGACTCGTGGGCCAAGACAGGAATGAACGCTTCTCTGCGCATCTAGGAGGTAAAAGATGTTTCCCTGAGGGCCTAAATAAGAGTGTACATTACCCGAACACTCGGTTTGTGCTGGGCTGAGCAGCTATTTGCCGAGACATCGTTGGAATAAGTCGCGTTCTTCTGCCCTTGTCCTACTTTGGGACACCTCATATGGGGCACACTGCATCTCGATGTGCTCGAGGAGTTGGTTGACCAAGGTGGTCTGCTGCGCGGGGGCGTTTGTCAAATTAACGACCTGCTGAGGCAAGTGGTGCTCGCCATTTGGATTTGAAGAGTCCGAATAATGGGTGTCTCCATGCGTGGTGGAAGTATAGTGAACTGTAGGTACAAGGCTTAAGCCCAGAGCAGGCAACCATGCAGAAAAGTGGGCTGTAAGTAACCTTAAGTTGATCGTAGAACCTATGGTCGGAATATGGACTGCTGGAGGTGGCCTTGGAATGGGTTGGGCCACAGGTCGGGTATTAGAGCGGGCCACAAGGTGCGTTGGACCAGCGCCTACTCACCTTGGATCTACATGGCCTTAGGCCATCCTGGCCGTTGGGCTGCCATATCTTGGCCTACTAGCTGAGTCGCTTGAGCTTGGGCCTGCAGCTTAGGGTTTGGTGGGAGTGGTGCCGTGGCCTGGTGGCCTTGCTGCGGCTGTTGGGTCACGGCAAAGGTGATGCTCCGTGGCGGTAGGGCTCCTCCTGTCGTCATGTTGAGCCTTGAGGATCTTCGTCGTGGGGCTATGTCATCGTCTCCACTCTCCAATCCAAATCCTTCCACGTATAGGGTTCCGTTTGTCGTAGTTTCTGAATTTCCTACCATTGTATCCTTTCTCCAGAGATTGATCAAGAAACTTTTCTAGGAAATATTAATTGATACGACATGTGAGAAATTCAACGTAACAGAAAATTCAAGAAACTAATGTGAGAGGCTTCTTCGAGTATTTTGAATTCGCTCTCAATGAAAACACCAATTTGTGGATGCAAATTTCAGTCGTCTTTAGTCTTAACAAAAATGCATCTCCAAAACAATCAACACCTTTGATCAAATACCTAAGCCTTAGTTTCTCTGAGAGAGTAAAGTGTTTAAGGCTTTTTAAAGTTGCGAAAGCCTCTTCAATTTGATAGAATGTGGGGTATTTATAGGGTTAGGACCGGCCATATAAGGTTTAATGGAGAAATATTCTCTAAATATTCCCAAGATATTTAATAGGAGATAATATCTTGAGATAATAGGGTAATAATCCTTAATTGAATTAAATTAGGATTACTTACTTGATTGGAGTCAATCTTCAATTAGGAATGTATTAAGGATAGGATTTGGATAATTAATCCTTATCTTTAATTCCTTGCCAAGGGCAGTTATGGGCAGTTGTGTTCAGCTACTGAATCTTTCAGGGATGTGAGCTACATGTCGGTGCATCTAAAAAGCCTACCCATTTATTGAGGGCAATCTTGTCCTTCTTGAATAAAAATCCACGTGTCGCCTTTAAAATTTTTGGGATTATTTTAGGCTCCATAAAAAGGCTAAAAAAAATTATGTTTGTTGTCACACTTTGATTTTTTTTTTTTTTTTTTTACATGATATTGTGTGTATTACCTATGCTTACATATTACAATTTTATTGCAACAAAAAGTGGACAACAAAAAAATACTGCTATGGAAGAACAAAATGAAATAAATGGTAAGGTCATATACAAGGAGGTGATTGGCAGGCCAAGTAATGGTCGTCTTCTTGGTGTAGATGCTAGTTGTAGTACCAAAGATGCATATCCCTCAAATAGCCAAAGTTATAATAAGCATATGTGCTTTGAAGGATCAAGTCAACACTTTAACAAAATAAATTGAATTCTTTGCAGCAATCAGTTGAAAGATTGATGCCATACTACTCAAATAATTATGCACGCACATGACCATCTGCTTCTGAAATTCGTATCAAGCAAAATATCCTGTATATGAAAATTATAATTTGTTGGACTGACGAGTCAAGCCTGCTAGTCAACTAAGATAGATTTGTTAGTCAATAATTAAAGATTCAATAACCAATTTCAAATACCAAAAGCTATCCTAGTCAGCAAGGTCTCAGTTTGTTCCATGTTATTAATGTGTCAAGTGAGCATGATTGTGGGCACATACCAATTAAATATTCAAGTGATACATGTAGCAAGTATATGTATGTGAGATATGTGACACAATATAAATAACTTTGAACACCATATATTTTTGGCCAGAAAACCCACCTTTGGGTTAAAAAACTGGGGCCTCTTGATTGAGTCCAATCCACTAGTATAATCAAGATTCTTACAAAGTACCACGCAAAGCTCAATTCCTAGACCTAGTCTACAGAGTAACTTTACCTTTGTGCAATCTTGCTTTACACAAGATGGATTTCTTCGGTCTTCACGAAGTGGCAGCTCTTCTTGAGCTCTTCACCTTGTGATATCAAAAATGTGTTGTATCCAATCTTCACAAGATGGTAGCTCCTCCTAAACTCTTCACATTGTGGCATTGAGACCAACACACAAGCTATGCATATGATGATATGGCAATGATATACAAATCTGGATACAAATGTCCAATCAGTTTCTCCATTCAAAACTGTTGAAGGAAGAAATTGACGAGAATCCTAAAAGGGTCAGTTTTAAAATTTGAAACTAGAAACACTTGACCACAAATTTAATTCAAAACCACAAAAACAATGCAACCCCATTCTTCAATGATTGGGTGTTTAATGCATGAAAGAAGGTTTTGCAATTAGGGTTTCATAAATGAAGAACAAAGAACTAAATAACCAACTAGGGATCTTAATGCTCTTTTCTCTTTATCTCACTAGAAAATATGATCTGAAATCCCAAAAAACTAAATAACCAACTAGGGATCTTAACCCCAAAAGCTCTGGTTCATTTTTCAACCATCATGACAAGTGTCAAGCAAGCGATTTGAAAAGATCAAGGGTGAAAAACATACATTTGCCAAAAAGCTGTCAGTTAGCCCATGTGGGCATGTCTTAAATTGCATGCCCAGCTTGCTGGAAATTTAAGCGCACGGCTAACTAGACAACTAAGCTAGTAAATGGAATGTAGACGTGAAATGCACATGTATGAGCAAACCTTTTGAAGTGAGATGTGCCACATCCTTGAACATTTCTTCCCAGCAGACACAACCCATAAATAAAGAAAAGCCTTAAAGCTAGATTAAGCATGTGGTACAATTACAATGTTGACAAGGAAAACCACATTTAAAGGTCTAGACTACACAGCTTTTATGGTAAATTGTTTTATTTCTTTTTTATTGTTTGTCTTAATATTGAATAATGTATTATTAAGAGAATATTGAAAGTTGGTCAGATGCTCAACATGATCAGTAGTGCATCAAACTTTTACTTTGATATTACCAAATATCTCAACATGTTTAGTTTATTCGCAGGGTATTTTTTTTCTTTCTAGTTTAAGTATTATCTTTTTTCTTTTTCTTTTTTAATAATTTTATGAATAATTTTGTTTGGATGTTTAGAAATTAATACAATGGTTTGGTTAATTAATTAGTAATGATTACATACCTATTTTTATAGTATTTGATTCCAAATTAGAATTTAATAATAAATAAAATAATAACTTTTTCGATTGTAAAACCCTCTCGTTAATGTACACATTTCTAACAAAGACATTCCTATCAAAAATACTTATTTTCAACTAAACATTGGTTATGAAAAAAATTGTGACGACTAAACATAGTCAATAATATATATTTCCAACAAGGCTTCACTGTCAGAAATATATATTGCCAATGAAATTTCATCGTTGCAAATTTATATTTTGAACGACACTTCACCATTGCAAATATATTTATTCTCGACGAAGCGTCATTGGCGAAAATATACATATTCCCAATGAAGCTTGCCATTGTAAATATGTATTATCGAGAAAGCTTCACCATTGGAATTACATATTTTCAACGATTCTTGGTCATTGCAAATATGTTTTTGTACTTATTTTTGTCAAGCTGTTATGTATTTTCGACAACTTCGTATGGTCATTAATTGTAATTGCGATGATTGTGTACTCTTGTAAATAAAAGATTATTTTGTTGGAAAATGATTTTCTAACACAATTGTTTGATTGGAAAAAAGTCATCGCAAAAAACATATGTCGTCATTTGAGAAGTAATTTTGACAACTAATAAGTATTTACGACCATATTTCCATGTCGAAAATTGTCACATCCCAATCTGGGCTCCACC